TAAAGCTTAGAAAAAAACCATGATTAAGTTATGTTAATTTGTAAAAAATTAAATTGGTGCGTTGCGTAGGACTGCATTGGTGCATTGGACGGGACGCACGTGATGGCTCGTGTCTCGAAGGAGTACGCCACATCATACTATGGCCAGAAAGGCATGCCGACACAGAATATAATTGCTGTATGCGACTTTAATTTGTGCTTCACATTTGTCTCTGCCGGTTGGGACGGGAGCATGCACGACAGCCGGGTTTTGCACTACGTGACTACTGAAGAGAAACATCGCTTTCCGCACCCCGCATCAGGTAAAAAATATTAAACAACAATATGAATACGTAGAAACTATAAATATAAATATTTTCAATAATGTATTTTCTTGGCAACAAAATTGTGAAAATTATTGTCTTTATTTAATTTTTTTATTTTGTCAACAAAATCAGTTGTCTAATGTAGTTTATTTCCCATTGATCAAAATTTTTGCAAACAACTTAAAAAAATGAAACAAATGAAAATGAAAAGTTTTGCAAAATAATAATGTGAAAATGAAAATGAAATGTTATAATTTAGTATTTAAATTAATTTAAAAAGTACTCCAAATAGAAATGCTGTTAATCAATTAGAAAGTAATTAGAAAAATAATTTTGTAATTGGAAATATAATTTTTCACAACAAAAGAACTTCACAATGAAATAGTAATTGAAAACAAAAATGGAAAAAGAAAAAATTACTAACGAAATAATTGACAACAATGTAATTCTTATAAATTGTGCAAGAATTAATTCTTAGAATTTGCTGAAAATGCAGTAATTGGAAATATAATTTTGCACAACAAAAGTAATTGCGAAGAAGAGTAATTGCAAACAAAAGGTCTTAACAAGAATAAATAATTATTAGACGAACCAAAAACTGAGACAAGTTAATTGAAACATAATTTAAGTGATAAATAGTAATTGAAAACAAAATTGGGATAAGAAAAATTTTTATTAATGAAAATGTAATTGTCATAAAAAAATTTAATTATTACAATTCACAAACAATGCTGTAATTGGGAATATAATTTTTTAGAACAAAAGGAATTGGGAGAAGGAGTAATTGAAAACCAAATTGGGAAAAAATTAATTTATGAAATTATTCAACAAAACCGTTGTTATTAAAAGAAAAAAAAATTACGAACCAAGACAAGTTAATTGAAGAATAATTTCAGTGGTACAGAATGTTGTCAAATTGAAAATGAAATGAAACAAATTTTGCAGGAAAATACTATTTGGTGGATAGCGGTTACAGCAACAAGACAGGGTACCTAGCCCCCTACAAGGGGTATTGGTATCACCAAAATGCCTATCGAAATCGAACACTGCAGAATCAGTTCGAAATGTTCAACAAGGCACATTCGTCACTGCGTAGTTGTATTGAGCGGACATTCGGTGCCTGGAAGTTTAGGTGAGGGGTATTGCGGAATATGCAGAAGTTAAGTTTTTCTAATCAAGTTACGTTTGTATGTGCGTCGATGGCGTTACATAACTTCATACGCCGACATAGCGAACTTGATGAGGTCACGATAACTATCCCAGACAGTGACGATTACGTGGCCTCCAAAATGCCCGACCACGACGAATACACACGGGTTGCTGATGTGATGGAAGAAGGGGACTCGAACCTTGCAATGGCCGTTGTAAGAGTGAACATCACGAACGCACTCGTACGGCAAGCGAACCGGTAGGGGCGAATTGGAAATACAAGAATATTGGTTAAAGGTTGTTAATATCTGTAACTAAGATTCATATTTGTAAACACGTTTGGTTTTAATAGTTTCATGTCTTTCGGAGCGTAGACATTTTTTTTAAAGTGTATTTTTAAAGGAAGTATGTCCACTAATTAACATATATAAACATGGGGAAAGTTTTTGCAATATCTTTTTATAATAATTTGTTCTCAACCTAGCTATGCCAAAAAATTATTTATATCCATTGGTTAGAAAAAAAACAAAACATAAAAAAAAAGAAAAAAAGAAATTTGCATGACTGGGCATGTACGTGGTTTATCTTTTTTTTTTTTATTCACATGTTATGATATGAATTCCGAAAAATACAGAGCAAACCTGTTCCACTTGTTTCCAATTTTCGGACAATAATGGAACAATTGCAACCTCTGCTTGAATAAAAAATTTAATAATTAATTCAAAAAGAAAAACAATCAAAAAAGAAAAAATTCCACGAAAAAGGAAAAGAATACAAAAAAATGATAAAAAAAGTAAAACAATAAACCAAAATTAATAATGTTAAAACGAAAAGAATAAAAAATAATATGAAAATGTTAAAAGGAAAAGAAAAAAAAAGGAAAAGCATAAAAAAAAATATTGACTAAAAAAGGAAAAGTAAAAAAACAAAACTTAAAACGAAAAGAATGGATAAAAAAATAATTGAATAAAAAAATGAAAAGAATAAAAAAATTAATAATGTTAAAAGGAAAAAAATAAAAAAAAAATAATGTTAAAAGGACAATACTAAAATCAAAAAAAAAATTTGTTAAAAGGAAAACAATGAAAACGAAAAAAAATGAATATAAAAATAATAAAAATCTTTCAAAAAGGAAAAAATATTTGTTTTCGTGCTTGTGAAAACAAAAAATAATAGTAAAAGGAAAAAATTAAAAAAATAAATTCTTTCAAAAAAGGAAAATAATAAAAATAAAAATGTTAAAAGGAAAAGAATAAAAAAAAAATTGACTATAAGAGAAAAAAAAATTAATGATAAAAGGAAAAGAATGAACATAAAAAATGAGGAATAAAAAAAATTAAAACCACGAGGCAAACCAGACCGTTGCACAGTGTTTACCAAATGAATAAATTTTTTAAAATTATTCTCATACTACGTTTCACAGTGTTAAGCAAGTCCAAGGTGTACAGCCACGAATCCCAACAACGGTGACACGTGGTTCTGTTGGCGTGTCAGTTGGGAAGGGTAAAAGAGTCATTTTATCATGTGTAACAATATTATATTATACCCATTTTCATAAAAAATCAAAAAGTTAATCCAAACATTCATATTTTTTTCTTCAACTTTTTAGTCTAAAAAGACAAAAAATATATTTATTTAGAACACCCCAAACCAACTCTAAATACAACTCATCCTTATTGCTTGATCAGAATTTCATCTCCACCCTAAAATAAGAATATTAGTTCATAACACCTATATAACTATCACACTCCAATATATACAAATTACACTCTCCCACCTTTCCTTTTCTTCTCTACTTTTTCTTTTATAACCTTCAAAAACAAAACAAAATATAATATAATGTAATAATATAATATTTTAATATATATATATATACATACATAATTTGAGTGATTGAGGAGTGTGGGAGGTGTGACCGCCACTTTTTCTCTTTCTTTTCATATTTTTTTTTCTATCTTTCTCCTCCCTTTCTTTCTTTATTTTATAACAAATATAATTTAATATATAAAATATCTAAAATATATTATTTACACTAATTTATATATACATATTAAAATATGTACAAATACAAAAAATTATGTAATTATAAAATAATATAAATTAATGGACTAAAAAAATATATTTTAGCAGACCAAATATGTAACATTTAGGCTTTGATCAGTCCATTTTTTATTTTATTTCAAAACAAATAGAATGAAATCATGCAATTATAATTATTGAATTAATTTGTTGTTTTTGTTTTGGATGAATAATTTATACCCAAAAAAAAAAAATCTGATTATTAAAGACGAGCCAGTGGTGGGCTTACGGGCCCAAATCGAAGTACTAGGGACAAACAAAATCCAAATTACAATGAAAGTGTATAGCCCAAGAGAAAGAATCTTGACTGATTTAGGGTTGTTTTGAAAATAGTAAATTTTAATCAAGCAGTTAAAAGATCATAATAAAAAATTAAATGTTCTTTTTATTTTTTGCAATTTTTTTGTGAAAAATTAAAAAATTATTAAAAAAAAACTAATTTCGAAAACAACCCACCCATGCCTTGGTTGGGTATGGTACATGGACCTGACATCTGCATGCGTAGAAGAGTGGGATCAATCTGCTATAGTTCAATCCCACCTATGCCTTCAACAAAATGGATGAACTGCATGAAGTACTTAAAAATTAGAAGTTGAAGAAACCTGGAATTTAACCAAATTGATCAAAGGAATGGCAGAGTACAGAAAAAAAAAAAAAAAAAAATTTGATTTGCGTTTTAGCATTTTTGGAGAGGGCTTATTGTTGAGTTTGGCACACTAGTAGACCCAGAAATATAACCTTTATTGATAACATTCTACTATACAAAACACTTTTACACAATCACATGCTAATGCACTTCACTTATTCACTCACACATACATTCAAGCACTGTCTTCCTCAGACAAGACCTTGAGACGCCTTACACTAGATAGTGCTTGACCATTCACTTTGGACTCACTCTTCTTTCACCTAATTGTCCAATTGTCCAATTGCTTAGTACATGCACACATCTCATATTTATACTAATTAAAGAACTTTTTAGAATACACTCATACTTTTCTTACACTCTAAAAAAATCTAAATTACTCTAATACATATTAGAGCTTTCTATTCTTCTTTAAAATATTCTAGAACCTTTCGGAACTTTCTAGATTTCTCTAGTTTTCTCCAAACTTCTTTAATGTTCCGCAACCTTCTAGGATATTCTAGAATTTTTTGAATTTCTCTACATCTTTCCAAAATCTTCTAAATCTTTCTAGAGTACTCTAAATTCATGTGAAAACTTCTAAAATATTCTAGAAAGAAGATTTTAGAGGGTGAAGAGAGTTAGAGATAATCCTCAACACTTGTTACACAAACAAACAATCAATAATGTGAGGTGAAATGATTAGAAAACCAAAACCCATCGTTATTATTAGATCACTACCAAGTCTTCAAAACTTTACTCTAAACCCAAGAATTTTTTATCCTGGACCTAACTGCACATGTACAGAATAAATTCAAAAAACACCAAGCCAAACAGAGTGAATAATCTCAATCCTGGATGTGAACATTCAACCTCCGGAGCCAAACAGAGTGAATAACCATGTGAAAAATGTCAAACCTCTTAGGAGGTCCATTGATCACAAAATGCTTCTGCACTTGTTTCACTCTCCTATGCAATCTCAAATACTGATTCTGAGAAATACCCATAAGTATTTTCTTAATATTTGGTATATCCTTAACCGCCACGCTAATTGAAAACGCTTTCCAATTTAAAACATCGCTGAATGGCGGTACATAACCATCCGAAATTAAGACAGGAACACACTCCGCGTAGATTGCCTCCACGACACGTGGACTGGCAACCTCGTACCCGCTAGGACATAGGCAAAATCGACTATTTTTCAACATTGATTTGTAGGAGACTCCGTCTGGAAGGTTGTTGTAGACTTGGATGTCACGGTCTTTTTCTTTCCAGTGATTTAAGAGGAGGTGTCGAATGTGGCCATGGAGGCGGCCTGCGAAGAAGGCTAGGATTGGGCGGTGGGAAGGAGAGGGGCCGCCTAGGAGACCCATGATTTCGCCTGTTCGGAGATGGATTTCTGGAAGGGGAACGTCTTTGGATGGATTGAATCCTTCGGAAGTGTTGGCATTGCAGAGAACTCTGATAGAGTTGTTGTATAGGTGTGGTACGTAAGATGTTGTGTGTGGCCCCTGTGATACATGCAAGACATTTTAGTCAACATTATTGATTCAAGGTTCAGAAAATAAAGATTAATGCTCTGTTTGTTTGAATGTTTTGTGTTGCATATCGCGTTTGATATAATAAAAAATTAGTTTAACCCAAAGTAAATTTATTTGAGTCAAACTTTTTTTTTTCTTTTCTTGTCACTTTTTAAAAATTTTACAACCGTCATCATACTATAATTACCACCACCTCCATCATCCCCTTCCGCCTACAACCGCCACAACCATTAATAAACATGGAAAATTAATTTTTATTAAAAAAAAATTGGACAAATTACACCGATAATTTTTATATTTTTTTCATTATCATTTTGGTTTCTATATTTTTAATTAATTTGAATTTGATCCTTAATTTTGGATGTTGTGTTATTTGGTCCAATTAATAAATTTGGTTACCATTTTTGAGGAAAAAAAGTCATTGATGTATACTCATTCAGTTAAGAAAATTTATAATTTTACTCTTAAAAGTATGATACATGCAGATAATGTGTATATTTTTTTTAAAAAAAATGCTAACGAGTGTCATGAATTAAGCCAAATTAACACAAAATTATAAATTTAATATCCAAATCAAGGTAAATAAAATTACAGAAATCAAGGCCAAAAGCATAGGAACTATTAGCATAATTTACTCAAAATATTTTCTAGGGAAACAGACAAAAAGAGAGTAAAAGAAAAAATTAACGACTTACCCAGTCATGGCAAGAGAGCATGAAGTGATCTGCGCCGAGGCTGCGATTCCAGAAGGGATGTCTCCGAGCTACAATGTCTATGTAGTCTACGACTGCTCGGCCTATGGCATGGTACTCAAGCGCACCAGGTACATAGAGGTACTGAACCATCATCACCACACTAAACGGAAGGAAGAACACAAGAGCCTGGTCAGGGTCCTTGGTCCTGTAAAAATTCCCCTTCTCCATTTCCATGATGAACCGTCCCTCGGTCGAATATATACTCCGGCACGGACCATTGTGGAACATTGGTGGCTCCCCTTCTTCATACACATATATCTTGAACAATTTCTCCATCTCCAGATAGCTCCTACACGATTTTTGTAACAGAGATAACAACGTGTACAAAAATTAGTTGGTCCAAGTTATAAAAAAAAATAAAGAACTTATACAAGAAGATTGTGGAATTAAGTTTTGGATTGAATTTTGTACCGGTGAAATGCATTGGCGTTACGGTAGATGGGGCCTTGAGGAACGCAGTCTGGATCGGTGTGGTTCGATTTCATGTTGTTGTTTTGGGATGCGGCCTCTCTAATGGAGGATCGGGCTTTGGCTAGAGCTGCTTCTTGCCTCTGTAGCCTTGTGTATCTCTTGATTTGTCCAGGAAAGCTTTTGGCACTGGCAGGGCTTGTTGTAGATGATTGTTCTTCTTTCTATTATCAGAAAGAAAGAACGATGTATACATTAGCAGTGGTAGGCAATTGGCATGCAACATTGTGATGAAATACGTATTGGGATTCAGGTGATGCGGATGTGAATTTTTTAAATTATCAAAAGAAAAAAAAAATTATAGTAGAATTTGGCCTTTTTGATTGTCAATTTTTGGGCCAAAAAATTAGTTATGAACGGATACATATCGAGAATCAGGTGATATGTATGTGATTTTCATCCTCACTGATATATCAGAGCATATTGGAAATTAGATAATGCAGTGGTAAATTCATTTGAATCCATAAAAAAAGTAGCTATGTCGAAAATATTGAGTAAATTTTCAAATCATTAACTACTAATATATATATATATATATATTTTAACTTCATAGCAATTAATCAACAGTATCAGTTATGAATAGTGAAAGATTGGTAAGGAGAGAGAGAGAAAAGAGAGACTGGAATGAAAGATTGGTATATTCACTATCTGCTATTGTATTTGTATATTTACAAGAGAATGAACTCTCTCTCTTTATAGAGAGGAGAAGGAGACAATGGGACAATGGAGCACCGAAAGCATACGACAATACATTAAAACAATATAAAAGTTTCTATTAAAGCTGGAGGTTGAAGGTGTGTGGTAGTGGGTGAACTCTCTTTACAGCTACGCTCTCTTTACAGCTACAAATGCACTATAGTGTGATGTATAGTATATTATATGTTAACAAATAGTTTGAACATATATGTATCAGAAACAACTATTACGTATGCAATTTTCATTTCTCTCAATATATTGAAAAATCAAAAAACCCGATACATATGGTTTGCTGATATTTTAAACCATGATGATAGCATACATATTGAATTACTTACTAGAGATTGAAGAGCTGTTTCTTCAGCCAGCAGTGTGTGCGCTAATGAACTATTCAATAAGAAGGAACCTTCCAAATTAGGAGGCCTGTCTAGTTCTTCATTCACAGGCAGAGAATAAGAACTGAAAAAACCAACTCTCCAAGGCCAAGGAGAGTGGAATGAAAACCAAGATCTCTGAGGACCAAGGGTACAACCAACTAGTGAGAAGACAAGCAAAGGGGTGACAAGTAGGAGTACTGAAACAGTGATTGAGTAGGACAAAGATGGAGCCCAAAGGGGCTTCTTTGGAAGCCACATCTTGAAACTAATCTTTTCTCTTCCAAGACTATACCCAAGTAACAATCAATAACCCTTTAGATAAGGTGATCATATGTAAAGAGAGTTGAGTTGGTGAGTGGGGTATGTGATTTGATGCATTACTTCAATGCAAGTTATTCTTTGCCGCATATCACTACTATTCTTGACAAGGATAGAAAAATAGTAGTGTGTGTATGTGTATCATTATCATGCGAAAGTTCTTTAAAAATCAAGTCTTGCTCTCAAATTCAAGTTGTTATAAAACTTGTTTGAATTATTGTTTCACAAAACCGTTTGGGGTCAAAAATAAAAATAAAAATAAAAATAAAAATAAAAAATTCATCTTTTACGAAATACCCAAAATATGTCTTTGAATTTTTTAAATTTATTTACACTAAAAAAATAAAGGGTGAATTACACTGACAGTCTCTATAGTTTAGGAGTCGTGTCACTTTGATCCCTGACTTTTTAATTGTGACACATTTGATTTTAAATTTTGAATTTTGTTCCAAATAAGAACAATTGAAGATACTTTGTTTAATTTCAAGAGTAAAATTGCCAATTTGATAAAATATAAACTAATTTGACAAAAATAAATGTCAAAAAAATATTTTTAAATTTTTAAAAATTATTTCTACCAACCAAAGATAAAATTAAGTAAAATTGATAAATCTTTTAGACATTTATTTATTTTTTTACCAAGTTAATTTTGTATTATGTGTTTAGATGATGATTATATAACCGGCGATTGTTAAGATTTTAATATGTAATCGATATATTTAATATATGAAATACTTTTAGTTTTGGATTTTTGGATTTAATGGATTGATTTAATAATGATATCAAACTTGTCCTCATATTTGACTTTTGAAAAAATATAAACTAATTTAATGAAAATAAAAACAACAACCCATTACATGATTATCATCCAAACATATAATAAAAATTAATTTAGGAAAATAAATAAATAAATAAATGTCTAAGAGATAGGTGAAGACGGGGTTGGAAGAGGCACATAGAGGTTGGTTCAATTAGGCGTGGATTCGCTAGGTAATTGAGAGTATACCTGTATAATTCCTTTAAATCTTCTTAGTGGATTGTTTTGTGGCGGTTGTCCGTGGTTTTTTAATCACAGTTGGAGGTGTCTAATTGTGATTTTTTCACGTTAAAATCATTGTGTCGATTTGTCTTGATTGTTTGATTGGGATTGTTATATACTACTTAAAATTGATACATAATCACAAATCAACATCTAGGGGATTTCTAGATTTTTCAGTTGTATTAATGTTCCCAAAGTATATGATTTGTTATATTTTAATATCAAATTTTTAATTTTTTCATTTTAATCTCTAAAATATATAATTTATTACACTTTAATTTTTGGCATCAACGTCGTTCAAAATTAGTAATAGAAGGAATGTTATTTTCTAAATTTTAGAGACAAAAAATAACTAAAGTAAAAAAAAAAAAACAATTGAAATTAAAGTGTAACAAATAATTTTTTTTTATTAATATAATTAACCCAAAAAGGAAAACACGACCAAAGGGGTCCATGTATTGTGGGACACAATTCAAAAACCAGTGGACTGTAATTGAATCTTCCACGGCAGGTGCATGTGATTTGAAGCCGAATGGAAAGACTAAACACCCATGTGTTTGAACACTTTCTCTATTATTCTCAACCAACCATATTGGAAAAGGAGAGAGATATAGTAGGATGACCTTGAAGCAAGGAATTATTATTATAGTGTCGTTGAAACACATATATGTTTTTGTGTTTTGTTTGGGAAGTGATTTATAAGTTAATTTATTAATTTTTTGATTTATTTAGATTATGTTATTTATCTTTATTTTTTATACGTCTTTTCATAATAAATAAAAAAATTTAATTTATTTAGGCTTATTTTGGTAAGATGGTAAAAAATGATTCTTTGACTTTTAACCAAGCTTTTGCTTTTTTAGACAAATGATTTAAGAAGTTGGTAAAAAGTTTCTTTTGACTTTTTTGATTAATATTTATTTATGATGTTAAATCACAATAAAATAACGAAACTATCTCTATTTATTTAAAATATTTATAACTTTACCCAAATAATACATTTTGACCCATGAGAGGTAAAATTGTAATTTCACCCTTGGTTAAAAACTAACTTCTCCAATGAAAAAAAAAGACAAAAAAAATTAACTTTTAACTTTTGTTACTAACCTAAAAAAATTGCTAAAAACCATGTTACCAAAACACCCCTAGCCGGAATGAAGTGGGAAGAAAGGAAACAGATGGTGAATCCCCCAAATTCTTAACTTCGTCGCGGAGACCTTCACTTTTAGAACATGTATCTTTTAGAAACACAACTTCCAGGACCATCTGAAAGGGGTTTATTCTTTTTTTCCTAGTGGGCCCTAGCCACTTTTTATTGAGTAATTTATATATTTTTTCAGAATGCTTAGTTTCTCTTATATTAATTTAGTATTTATAATTTTAATTGTATCAATTTTATTATTGAATTTTTTACTTCAGGTCAATTCAGTATAATTAATAAGAATTATTTAAAAATTAGACTGAAATTAAATAACAAAATAATTTATTTTCTGTTTGAAATGATTCATCTCTCTTGAATGAATCATTTTGCCTTTAATCTTTGTCTAATTAAATTGACAAAATATAAAAAATTAATAAAAAAATATTATTACAATCGAAACCTTAATAGAAATATTATATTATATTTTTAGTAATGTACCAAAAAGTCAGGATCGAAGTGGGGTATCATTTTAGTCCTAGGGAATGGTAGAAATTACACTGTTGCAATGGAGTCATAGGGAATGGTTAAAATTAATTGCGTTGACTAAACAGTTTTTAGAATCAATTGAAAACAATGTAGTCATTCACAACGCAAAGGTCATTGTGCTAACCAAAAAAAAAAAAAAAAAAAATCAAAAACTTTATTTATAATTAAAATATGTTGATAAGATTTATTTTAAATATGACTAATATTATATAAATTTTAGATTTATACTCTACATTTTATTTTTTTTTATTTGTAAAATTTTGAATAAACTTTTATAATACCTAAATTATTCGTCAAAGATTCAATGCAAAAACATACAAGTCTTAAAGATTCTCAAATGAAGAAAAAACACAATATAAAAATAGAACATTTACATATAAATTCTAATTCATGAATTTATACTATATTAAGTTCTAGTAATGATTCAGACCCTTACAAAACATTACCCCTACAACCCCCACTCACTTGTGATTAGTCCAAGTAAGAAAGAGAAAAAAAATAATAATATAAACACATCATTAGTTCACATCAGTGTGGGGGTGGTGGGGGTTTTCCCAAAAGGAGGTCCCAAACATTTTCCATTAAGTCCTACCTAAGATTTTTTAGATCTTCAAGTCTCATTAAATTTTTAATAGTCAGAATTACCCTTCAAATAATGATTGTTTATCATTTGTGATTATCTATAAAAAAAACATGATGATTTGATATTAATTTTGATTTTCAAAATTTTAAAACATGAACTTTCAAATTGGAAAGACTAAAAATAAATAAATATATTATATGCAAAAAAAAAAAAAAACTAATTTTTTTTAAAACATTGAAAAAAATTGATAATATTCTCAGCTTTATTTGATAGTTGAATCAAACTAATAAGTAGAAATGCAAAAATGTTGAAGCTCATGCTCTGTTTTTTTTTATCAGTATATAAGAGGGTTCAAGAATATTGTCGAAAAATTCAAAGGCCTGACGAAAAATTCAAAGATTGCCAAAAAATCCAAATTCTCTAGAAATGGTAAGAGGCTTATTCAACAGTCACAACTAGGAACACAATAGCAAAGAGATGATGGAGATAAGAGATTGGGTGAAGAAGAAAGCAAAGTAGTTAGAGAGAATAATGGCAAGGCTCTCCAATGAATCTCCCACGTTTACTCTCAAGGTAGGTAATGGAGAAGGAAAATTAGTTCTCTCACAAGAGTTGTTTCTCCAAAATCCATACCTTGTAAAGTTATGGGTAAGTGCTATTTATAGGCACCTCATGATGTAGGATGGAGCCCATGTACAAGGCACATGTGGAATATTCCTTCTAACAACCTTGTCCAATGAGGTGACCTTTTTGAAGATGAGAAAAACCCCGAAGAAGAAATCAACCTCTCGGTGAACCCTTCTTTTTAACCACACTTAACCAATGATCCCCAGTCATCTTAAAGGATCAGGGGTAGTTCCAGAGGACACCCTGACGCAGAAGGGTCAGGGATAGTTCAAGAGAACGTCCTGCCACAAATATTGCTGAGTTTCAGGAACCCCTTAAATCGTGCCACCTCGATCCGGGTATAGGCTAGTTTAACCAAAGAGTGAACTTGTAGCGCCTCCAAAATAATTACAATAAGCTGACTCCAACACCAGTACAAAGTGATATAGATACAATAAGAAGTTTCCATTAATCAGAGTAATATACAAATAGGTGACACATGCGATATACATTCATAAATCGTTCATCTTGAATCTACAGCATGTGTCATGAATAGTGAAAAGTAATGAAAGCTAAACAAATATTCATCTGCCCTAAAGGTTTACATCTTTTCAAGTCACTGCTTGGTTACAACAAAATGAGTCTAACTCAATATAATTAAGCCCGTGGCTATACAAAGCAAATACAATTAAAAAAGAAACTCTTGCTCCAAATCTTCCCAAACTACTGTCTTGGCGGAGACATATCTCCAGTACCTGAAAATGATTTTTTCCAAATAGGGTGAGCCAAAACCCAGTAGAAACAATCTAACACAATATATGAATCTTAACAAAGATATAAGTATAATGTGCATATGCAATGCCTGAAATAAAATAATTCATATTCCACAAAATCATAATATGCAGAATTCTACATCTCAATTTATTTTATCTCAATTCTTTTCAAGTCAATTCATTTTACCTCAATTCATGAGTCAAATTCATTATTATCCAGACAACCCAACTGAGGCTACAACTCAGTGGTTCTCTAATTAATACAACCATTACACAAACACTTCAATTTGCCATTTTACGAAAATTTCGTCCGCGAGAATCGACACCCATGTATACACGTAATTTTTGGGACTTTCACCCTGGATACACGGGCCAACTTAATTCAATGGAGTCCATCCCATTTCTTCTCCCAAACATGG